AAAAGAAGATTCACACAAATAGGTTGAACCGAATAATGCTTTCACTTTCAAGGCAACACGGCATAGAACTGAATATTTGTCTTTACTTACAATAGGCCAGATACATTTGGTACTTGAGACTAACGATTTTAAGGCTAAATCATTTTGAAACTCAATTACTTCCATTTCTGTTGCAGCGACGTCTTCGCCAAAGTTCTGCATAACACAAGTTGCAAAATGTTGGATATCAATTTCCATAAAGGGTGAAACAAGAAACTGCGCTACTAAAGCCATTTCGTTGAAATCCTTAAAACGATTTTTGAAGTTATTCTTCAGGGTAGAAACTATTTCTACATGATATTTGCTGTCATAGGGTTCTAATGGATTTTGAGATATTTTTTCTGAAAGAATAGGAAAATGCTTGGCATCGCTGTTAATTAGGTTTTGTTCCCAAAACTCCAGCTTTTTGATAAATGCTTTTATATCAGAAATCATGTCCGCTAGTTCTTTGTCTCTCCCCTGAAGCTGCAAATTAAGTTCGTTTAATTTCTCTGTAATGTCCACGAGAAAACCAAAATCTCTAAGCCACATTAAATTTCATAGTTCCGGAGTCGGTTCATCGCGTTGTTTAGAAAATTAAATTATGCCAGATGACACATCAATAAAACGTTTCAGCACTCGTCCTCTACTTAACCATCGGACTTCAGAGTGAAGGAGTAGGTCCCCGTATTGACAGTCAGCTTCATCGGCCAAGGTTTTGAATAATCTTCTTTGTAACGCTTGAGCTCTAATCTTGTTCACAATTTTTACAACCAGTTTCATAACGTTGTTTAGTTACAGGAAATTTCCACATAATGCTTGCTGATGGATAATGCAGTGATAACAGAGAAATTGCGGAAAAGTTTCATCTTTACGACATAACGCCACCAGACCCTTATCATAACCCACCATAGCTGGAGCGCCATCGATTGTCAAGCCTACCATTTCGATATTTGAATTTTCTCGGAAGAAATAATATTTTTTAAATGAGAAAATAACTCCTGTCCAGTAGTGTGTCCTTTCAGTGGAATAAACTTCAAAAGATCTTCTTTAATCGTAAAATCACTAAAAACCATCCTGACGAACACGGCCATCTGGGCAGTGTCAACGACATCTGTTGATTCATCCAGTTGAAGTGAAAAATAAACACAGTTATCTAAGTCAGTTCTTAACTGTGAAAAAATATCACTGCTCATTACTTCTACACATCTCATCACTGTATTAGCAGAAAGTTGCATAGATTTTATAGCTGAAACTATCTCGTCTTTATATCAATAAAAAAAGCACTTTGAATTTGAAACCTGCCAATAATGCGATTTACCGCGAATTTTTATATTGAAAATATTTTTTAAGAAAAACTGTATTACAATTTTTTACCTAATAATAGAACTTACTAATAGTAGAACTATTTTACTACAAAAGATTGGTTTTTAATTGTTTCTTTTGCAGTATATTAAGATTAATACGATTTTCATATAAAATTGGTATTAGCGTATACTCTGTATGATCTCATACTATTTGGTAGTTTGAAACCACTTTTAAAATTGTCCGTCCGTCCATCTGATGTCACATTGTTTGTCTGCAAGATAAGTTAAAAATGAAAAATGATATCAAGCACTATAAGGAGACAAACCCTATTAATTTTGAAAAAAGTCTATTTAAAAATGGTGGTTTGAGGGGGGTTGAAACTTAAAAACAAGCTTTATAAGGGAATAAAGCATATTGATTTTTCAAAAGATCTGATTAAAAATAGGGCACTTAACGGGGTTGAAATAAAAAAAATCATGAAGCAAAAACGAGAAACGATAACTTGAAATTTTTAGGACAAATCAAGCTATATATGAATACGAAGCCTATAAATAAAAATCTGATGTGTCCAACACATGACTTTCCTATCTAGTTATTATAGGCTTTTTCCGGTTATTTTGTACAACCTATTGCAGCATCTCTATAAATGTTTAGAGGATAAACTAAATATATACATTGTCCACATACCTCGAAACATTTTTCTATAGATATTCATTGAAAACGAAAATACTGAAAAATTTAAATTTAGCACTTTTCCATTACGGTCCATTTTAGAAAAATCATGTATAAACAAAAATTATAGAGATCGATATAGCAAACAACTTTTAGTTCAACAATTTTCATAAAAATCAGAATTTTGCACATTTTGTCAAATTTCACGAATACGGACCACTTCAGGAAATTTTGACATAAAACAAAAATTATAGATAATAATATTAGAAGAAACTTTTATTTAAACAATTTTCTTCTCCAAACATAAATAACAGATATATTCCATAAAATATAAAAACGGCCTCCCATAAAGTACCCCCCTAGATGTTTTGACTTTGTCCAAAATCTAATCATTTCACGTCAGGCCGAAATAAACCTTAAGTTTAAAATTTAATGTTTTTTTCTTTATCTGTTTTTGAGTTTTCTTCAAAATTCTAAATTTAAACATTTTCTCAAATATCTCGAGTACGGTCTATTTTAGAGAAATTATGTATAGAATAAAAATTATAGATAATTATATAAGAAGTAACTTTTATTTATTTCTTCTCCAAATGTAAATAACAGATATATTCCATAAAATATAAAAATGACCACCTATAAAGTACCCCCCCAGATGTTCCGACTCTGCCCAAAATCTAATCAGTTCATTAGACTCTGGAATAAAGCGTAAGTTTAAAATTTAGTGTTTTTCTGTGTATCAGTTCATGAGTTATGCGACATACAGATACACAGACACACACACACAGGCATCATCGCGAAAATAGTCAAAACGGATTCAGGGGACCTCAAAACGTAAAAATCTGTCGAAAACTCGAGGTCGAAAAAATCATGATTCCTATACTTTCCTTATACCTGTATACAGATAGGAAAGTAAAAATGGAGTAGTTAGATGGGTAAAATTTAAATAAAGCCAGATATAAAAATTTTTAGTAAAAATCAAACTGTATAAGGGGATAAAACCTATTGATTCTGAACAAAAATGGAATAAAAATGGAGGGTTAAGGGGGTTTGTTAAACTGTGAAGAGTATAATATAGAACGCACAGCACTATATATTTTCATTCTAGTTGGAGGGTTAATAAGCATACATTAAATTGTATCCCAATTTCTTTTTGTTTTGATTTTGATTTTATATAAAAACTACCTTGATGCCAAAAATATCTCTCATGCATGAATGTCACAAATATGGCCATACGTATATGTAGGTGTTTGCGTGTCTCTAATGAGTTGATTAGATTTTGGGCATATTCGGAACTTTATAGAGAGTCGTTTTTCTACTTTAAGGAATATATGTTATTTACGCTTGAAGAAAAAAATTCAGCAAATAAAAGTTGCTGGTGATATAAAATTCAATTAAACAAAATGAGAAAAGTATGTAGGTATTTGACTAATATCGAAAATCTTTTACCACAAATGATTGGTTTTCAATTGTTTCTTTTGCAGTATACAGGCCATTGAGATCAATACGATTTTCATGTAAAATTGGTATTAGCGTATACTCTGTATAATCTCATACTATCTAATTGTTATAATCGAAAAAGCGAGGGCAATTCAAATATAAAATAAAGTGTCCCATTTAAAAAACCTAACTTTGATATGTATCACATTCTTGAAGAACCCTGTATAATTGAAATTATTTTTAAATTGTTGGTTTTTGGGACATACAAGGCGTTATCAGTGGCCCATCCCGTATATAAGATATTACGTTACAAGGCCATTTTTAATTTGAGTGCAAGAAAAAAATGTAGGTATGTATAAATGTTAAAAATGAATTCCGTGAAGCTAATTTTTGAAAATGTCAAATATACATCTCTATAAAGATGTCTTTTTTTTTAGAGAAAACAAAATCAAAATTTAAAAAAAAACATATTACATAAATTTAGCCTAAAAAATATTAAACATTGGTAAACAGTATTATAAAGTTAGAGTACCTATGTATTTATTTTTAAAATTAAAACCAATAATTACAAAAAATGGCAATGGATTAAATTTCATTAGGAAATAAAAATACTTTTTAAGGGCAACAACCACATTTGTTAATAATATATCGAATTATTTAATTAATTAAATACAAAAACGCTGGTATTAAAATTGTATTTGTTCCGGCCCTGTCTGCCTCAAGAACAACGGTAATGCAAATGACTAACAACGACTAATGTTCTAAAGCGGCATCTATGAAATTACCTTGAAGTTCTTACAGTATAGAATCCTACAAGCTTTGGATACGGCGTATATCATCTTTCATCTGCGTTGTCCCTAGCCGATTAGGTGAATTAATAATTAGCTTTTATTTCAAACCAAGCTTTCAGGAAAACCAAACATTATTTTGAAGTGCGATTTGTTTCATTTATTTGATATGCTAGTTGTACGGGTGGTAACGAAAAGAAAACATCTAAACATGTTTATTTTTAAAGTAAATACGTCGACAAGCCGATGGTTTCTATGTGATTTTGACACCAAGGATCAAAGTCATTTTTCGAGTATTTTTAAAAAACTCTGCTTCTTTAGATTTTTTTACAACCCGTAGGCATTATTCATGAACTGATTTATATATTTAAATTAATGCTACGAAGTATACTTTTCCCGAAAGCTTCGTCAAAAGTAACCTCTTCATATACGGGAAATTAACATGGGCGATCGCCGGCCTTAACTAAATTGTGCATTCTAAATTAAAAAACATGTTTTTTTCTGGTACTCCTCGCTAAGTGCGGGAATAGGGAAAAATTTTCTCGCACGTAGCAGAAAAGTTTGTCTTTCATAGTGAATAAAAGACAGTAATTGATTTATATATTTATTTAAATAATTTTTTAAGGTAATCCAGAACTTGTTAACAATGAAAATCATAATTAAAATGATGAAAATGTTAGAGGACGCTTGAAACTACCAAGCAATCAGTTGGTATGTTGTGTGTGTGGGGTTAATATCTGGCAACGTGTTTCAAATAAAGCAGCTTTACAATTATGGATGCAGTGCCGAACATTTTGCCATCCAGAAAATCGATGCTGTCCAAATCATCTAGGTAATGGAGTATTTTCTGACGAGGCACTTGGACTGATCAGATTGCAAGCAACACCAAGATCTTTGAGTATACTTGAATGTGAAGCACTCATAAATCTCCTCACTGAACGTGTTAGTGCGTTAGAGAAACAGTCATGCATGTTTGACTTCAATTCTCAAAATATGGAAGATGAGGACTACAAATGTTTGACTGGTCTCAATAGGGCACAATTCAATACTCTTGCCGAACATAACGATGATATAAAATCTAGGAAAAACCTTAACAAGAAAAACTGTATTGCACTTTTTCTTGTCAAATTAAGGGTTGATCTCAGTCAGAAAGTTTTAGAGATGATGTTCGGCATGAAACCAAAACAGCAACCTCGAGTTAGTGAGATTTTTCAAGATGTTTTGGTTTTATTAACCAATAATTTTGTACCGCGCCATCTTGGTTATGGGCATATAACTCGAGAGGATTACGCTCAACTACATAGCACCACAATTTCCAACAGACTTTGCCGTGTCCCAAGCTGATTCTTTGGTAGTTTTAGTAGATGCCACCTATCTGCATCACCAAAAACCATCGGATCACAGATCTCAAAGAAAAACTTATTGAGTTCAAAAAGGGGACAATCTAGTTAAGTTTTCCGTTGTAATTGCACCAGATGTATATATAGCGGGTGTTCTAAATTAAAGCGTTACAGCTATATACCGCTTTTTATAAAAAAAAAACGTTTCAGACGAAAGTTTTATAGTTTGGTAGGGAAAAACTTTTGGCTAAAATCATTTTTTATAGCTAACCATAATATGGCCAACTTTTTTTCGCGCAGCAACATTTTCAAGTAGCTGTTACTCAAAAAGTAAAAGTCCAATAAAAAAATAATTCCCTCAAAAGTTTCTTATTTTTTTATGTACTTTAAGAATATGTAAGAAAAAAATGGGATTCCTATTTAAAAAAACAAAGTTTACCTCGATATGGCCATATTATGGTCAGCTATAAAAAAATGAATTTAGCCAAAATGTTTCCCCCAAAAAACTATAAAACTTTTGTCTGAAACTTGTTTTTCTAAAATGCATATTTTCGGCGGTATTTAACTGTAACACTTTAATTTGAACACCCGGTATAATAGATGTTTCACGTCCTCGTGCATTAGATGCGGCAAATAATGATTCATCTACAGTTCATCAAATTTCTAGAGGCTTTCGACGGCTAGACAGAGAAAGCACTACTGAGAGGCATCGGTTGGCGGGGCCGACGGATTTACGCAATGAAAGTACACTCTGCGCATCAAGTATTTCACTATTTTATTCAGACGTAAATGTAAGATGTAAATGTCGCTAAAACATTTCTTTTATTTTCGTTTGTGTTTTTTGCTCATTACAGTTTAATAGAACCTAAGTATGGAGTTTAATAGCAAATTAAGAGGCCGCGTGATTAACAGTCAATCTCGCGAAATAATAGCCAATGTTATAGAGTTTATGAGAAGAGAAGGAAACTTTAATTCACCTTCAATACCATTTAAAAATGTAAATGATCGTGTTGCTGCAGCCACAGGAGTATCTAAAAACACTGTCGTCCGCATTTCTGGAGAGAAAAAAAGAATCGATAACCGTGAGATATCGGAATTTTCATCACCAAGAAAAACCATTAAAAAACCAAAAACAGTTAATGATATAGATGAAGCTGAAGAAGGTATTTTAAAAAGAATTATTCTGTTCATGTTAATCTCGGAAAATATTGTTCCAACATTAAAAACAATTCTGACTAAATTTAGAGAAGCTACAGGGTACAAAGGAAGCTATGAAAGTTTAAGAAAAATAATAAAGTCGCTAGGATTTCGTTGGCGGAATACAAAAACAAACAGAAAAATATTAATGGAAAGGTTTGATATTCAAAAGCTACGTTTAGACTATCTGATTCGTTTAAAAAGTTATCGAGCAGAGGGCCGTCTACTTAGATGAAACATACATTCATGCCTCCCACACACACCAGAAAGCTTGGAGTGATAATTCAAATGAGGGATTAAAGAAACCAATTAATTAAGGTGATATACTAATTATTGTCCATGCAGGAGGTGAAATGGGCTTTATTCCGAATGCCCGGTTAGTTTTCAAATCTGGAACCAAAAGTGGAGACTACCACGATGAAATGAATTTTAATAATTTTTCTAAATGGTTGAAAGAAAAGCTGTTTCCGAACCTCCCTCCAAGAAGCGTCATTATTGTTGATAATGCTCCTTACCATAATGTCCAGGTGAATAAAGCACCAACGTCAACTTCTAAAAAAGCTGACATGCAGGATTGGTTAAGGAATCATAATATTGCTTACGAAGAGGATATGCTCAAAACGCAATTATACAGTTTAGTGCTATTGCATAAGTCACGATTTAAGAGTTATGCAATTGAAGAAATGATAAATGAACATGGTTTTAGTTGTTTGCGTTTGCCACCGTATCATCCCGATCTTAATCCGATCGAATTAGTGTGGGCATCATTGAAACAATATGTAGCTAGTAACAACACTATATTTAAGAGGCAAGACGTACAACTGTTGTGTGAAGACTTTTTTGATACGTTTTCTAAAGAGGAGTGGCAATCTCGTTGTAATAATGCTAAAATGTGGGAATCTAAATTTTATGACAGGGAAGTTACTTTGGATGAGGCAACTGATAGATTTATAATTAACTTAAACAGTGACAGTGAGACTGATTTTAAATCTGATATGGAAACTGAAGAAAGTTTTTCGGAAGACCATTAAAATTATATCTGTACCTAAGATCAAAAAAGTATTATCTATTTTTACAACGAAGATGCACAAGAATCAAATTTTATTATTAGATAGCTATTTTTGTTTCTGAGTTGTATTCATTTACAGGCTCAATTTTTTTCCGTTTCTCCTTTTTGATTTTATATGGGGTTTCAAGTTGTTTTTGACTTATTTCGACGTAAATCACAACAACACACTTTTTTAATAAAACAAACAAGTGTTAAGAGGTATATGTACGTGTAAACTACAATTACAAAAAATTGATATGAAACCCATGAAACCACCAACAAAAATGTAAAGCTAGCTTCCGTACTAGAACATGGTGTCATTCGTCGAGATAATTTATCGTTTTGTTTAATAGATCAAGAAATGTAAATATTCCCCTGTTATTTTTTATAAAATTATAAGAGAAATAAATTTTTTTCTAAATAGTATAGTTTATTATTTTGTAGAAACACAAAATTTCGAAAATTTTAGTAATGTTTTAGAAACAACCGTTATTAATAATAGGTACCATTTTCCTTAATAAGGTAGAAATAAAATATAAACTATTTCCACGATTTACAAAGGCCTACAAAAAAATTATAGGTATTTTCCGCTATCCTATAAAATTTATATTTTCTGACTCAATTTCAAAAGTTTGAAGGAATTCCAAAACACCTTTTATGGCATAATAATTATTTTCAATTCTACATACTATCTTTAGCTGCTTTTAAAAACGTTCTAAGAAAGTCCAATCAGACCAATTTAATCCATAAACTATTCCACACTTTTAAAATTTAATTACCTAAAAATATTAAAAACTATTTAAAATAACTTGTTTAGCAGACTGTACAATAGCTATCTTAGTCAGACGTAGCGCGTTCTCTGTCTGGGCGTCGAACACCTCTAGAAATTTGATGAACTGTATTTTTAATGCCACGGCTTTGAATGATAATGAATTTGTTACATTTTTTCGCGAGAATGAAAACATTATTTATGACTTAGGATACAGAGACTTGACTAGTTTATGCCAAAATATAGGTCTAAACGTTTTTATTCCACATTTTATACCAAATGGTCAACGGCAACTGACAACACAACAGGCTAACGAATCTCGTCTAGTCACCATGCTTAGATGAGTAGTCGAAGCAGTGTTTGGCCGATTACAGAATAAGTTCAGATTCTTACGAAATGTAGTTCCTAACAGTTATACATATGAAACATTATCAAATATATTCCAAGTGTCATGTGCAATTTCAAATGCATTCTTTCCAGCTATAACCGAAAACGGTCCAGAAGACGATGTATTCTGCAATCGTGTTTTAGAACTCATTAATAGGCCGAATAATTTACTAGAAAGAGTCATGGAAGAAAATCTATTGACACGTCGCATCAATTAGCCACTTGTGGATGGTTTTTTGGATCTTCAAGATTTTCCAGTTCTAACACAGAATAAAATTCAAGTCTTGACTCATGGAACCTATCAGATTCGGTTAGCCTATTGTCACAGTTCAGCCCACCTCAACAACGGCCAATATTTAGTGAGAATGCATCTTGAACCTGCAGGAAATGGTCATATCTGACTAATACGAGCCTCGATACCTTCTAGATTTCAAGCTACAGAAGAAAGAAAGTGTTTCGTTCAACACAGCACCACATTGTTGGGAATTAACAGTATTACTGGGTGGGCCTGTTTATGTAAATCTGAAGCAAGAGTTTTAGGTATGTGTGGTTATGTCTGTTCCGTTATATGGTTTTTATCATATGGAAGACACCATCCTGAAATAAATTACCCATTAAGAGATAAGGCAGATAATGTGATTGACGTTAGACGATAGCATCTGTGCTCAGATCAGATATTCTTTTATATGACAAAGGCCACAGCATGCTAAATACATCAGTTCTTGGTTGACTTTACAAATAAGTGTCGAAGTTAAATTGTGAAAATAACTGTTCGCATTTTACCATTACCTAGGTTCTGTTTAGTTTTAGAACATTTTAACCATAGATTTAGTTTATCCACAATACTTATGAAAAGGTAGAGTTAGGGACTCAACTCTAGTCCCGCTGTCGTGACTTATTCTAATTTTAAATTATTATTATTTTTATTCAGTTAATTATCTTCTTCTTTTGATGCCAAATCAGGTCTCCCCTCCCCTAACGTTGGCAATTACATTGGCGAGTTCGCTATTTTCATCTTATCTAAAAAAAAATTCGGCACTGCGTATTCCAGTCAAATCGCAAATGTTCTTTAGCCATGACATCTGCTTCATTCCAATTCCTCTGCGGCCCACGATTATCAGTGCTCAAAAATGCTAAAAAATGGAAAAATAACTTCCGTTAGGACATAATTTAGTTATTTCAGGAAATATGGATTGAACATTGTTTAGAATACTTACATATTGTATATTCATTTCTGATATGAGTATGTGTTTTAGAATACAGAAAGAAAGTATTCTCAACTTGTACTAAGTGCGGTCCTGTGCCTACTACATGCTTGTAAATCAGAAAATGGTATTTTAAGTGGTGGCACCATTTTGGAGTTTGCTAACAATAATATAGTCGACTGTAAGTCACAAGCAGCTGTACACAGATAAAATGCAACTTAATAAATTGCTACTCCTATTATTTTTCATCTGCCAATTGAATCAATTCCAAAAAATCTAAAATAATTTTGTATTAAAAAATAACTATAGTTTCTTTTAAATTGAAAATGTAAACCATCAAATTCTTATATTGTTTTCCGGTAAGAGCAGAGGACAATACTACAATCTGAATTACTTAC